CGCACCCGCGCGCTGTGCGTCACCTGCAGGCTGAGCGCCGCGCGTGGCAACCACAGCTGGGGGCGCTCTGTGCAGCGGCCCGCTTACAGCTAGCTACAGCTAGCGACAGCCCGCGGGCGCGAGCACGTGCAGGCACTAGTGCAGGCACTCCACACGTCGTATAGGTACAGATGTGTGTTGGAGTGTGCCCTCGTGAGCTAGCTGTGGTCGTATCAGTGACAAGGGAACGAACACCACCACGTGGAAAGGGTGTGGATGGAATAGCCAGGAATAACCCCACCCCCTTCCCACCTGCGCCCGTGACGATAGGTCCAAGGAACGTGTTTGAAGCAGTTTAGCTATGGGGGGTACCAAAGTTCGGGAAGGAGTGGCCACGTATAGTCGGTTTTCGGACAGTGCCAAAGACGGGACCGAAGTGACATTGCCTTAGCAATGGTAAACTTTTCGGATAGCTGAGCGGGGGAAAGGCCGAATGTGTACGATCGTCACTTTTTGTTACAACTGTAAGGTGGGGGGGGGGGAGTGGCGTCATAGAAGAAATAACATTGATCCTGACCATTATCATATTTAATATAATAAAATCTGTAAATCACATGGCATATAACATAATACATAACAGTAAAAACTTACTACAGACAAGAGCCAAAAAATTACAACCCAGTCACTGGCACAAAATGACTGCTATGACATGATCATTATTACAGCAATACAAATGCCAAGAATAAGAACGGGTAAACCTAATTAACTAATAATAAAATGTATTCTGTACTGGTGTTCAGAACCCTCCATGAATCTTGATATGAAATCCTCTTTGGTTTTTTTAGTGAAAGAACTTAACGATAACTTTACGGTTTCGTGAGTAATTCGAATAGATTCAGACAGAATCTGTTAGGCACTCTGGAATATACCATATATCACTGACAGTTATAAAATGCACGAAAACATGTACTTAAGCTACGTATCACAAACGAGGCGAAACTAGATACATACACAGTTCTTGTTTGTGTTTGCCCAGTGACGGCCGAAGAGGCACACAAGACTTCAGTTTCGCTTAAACTCCGTCATCAAATTTACCTCAAGTAATTTCTACTCTGGCACATTTTGCGACTGGACACTCCGGCCCCCTCTCACACGAAAAGGGCCGAGGTCGTATGCATCGCTGGATACCTAAGTGAGATCCGTGAAAGTGTAAGCGTTTTGAGCGACAATTCTTCTCCAGTCAAGTCAGCACGGACATCGAAATACTATTCAGTTTTTAAATAGGATACAGACACGCATCCAACTCGTAAAGTATAATAATACGCAATGCACCGAAACTCCCTTTGATGCAAAAGAAGTTCGGAAAGAACAACGAAAGAAACAAATCCACGCTAAAGACGGATTTTGATTTAAAATGGCGAGGAACCTTAACAAAATGCCACATAGCCTAATTACCCTCCATAAACATTTCACTAACTACATGTACAAAAATAAATACACTATACAGACTGACTCTTCCCACTAAAATCTGAAGACACCGAGGTATTACAGCCTGATCAAGTCACCACACCGTGGATTCTTTGTTTATGATATTTTGAATGCACATTTTAATCACGCACACACAAACACACACTCATACACACTCACTATCATTCAGACAGTCATTAGTCACTGCCGGTCCTACTGTCGAAAGCGCCTCAGTCGGAACTTGAGCACAAAGTAGGCGCCCAGTCTGAGGACGGAGCCGATGGCGAACAGGATGGCGGCGTCCAGCCAGTAGTTGCCCTCGTCCAGGTCCAGCTCGTGGAGGAACTTGTCTGGTCGCTTGAAGTGGCAGTAGTCCTCGGAGCAGCGCTCCAGCGGCGCGCGGCCGTAGCCGTACACGGCCAGCATGGAGCCGGACAGGCCGTACTTGAGGTAGGACGCCTTGAACAGCCACTGCATGCTGGCGGGCGCGTCGCGCTGGATCACGAAGTAGCCGGAGAAGATGGTGAAGGGCAGGATGACGAGCGGCCCAAAGATGACTCCGTGCTGCAAGGGAGGAGGCCACACAGGGTCAGTAACAACACCTGGCCGACAGCAGAAGTTCGTGAATATTAGGGGTGCTGTGACCACTTACCTCCACCTTCATGGCGGCGCCCACCAGCAGGCCGACGCTCTGCGCCACGAACGAGACCAGGGCGCAGATGAGGAGGAACTGCAGGAAGCGCAGCGGCTCCATGGGCTGCGCCGTCATGTAGTACACCACGGCCGTGTACACGCACACGCACACCCCCTGCAGCGGCACGTCCGCCATCGTCACCGCCAGGAAGTACGACTTGAGCGAGTACCAGCGGTTGAAGTGCTCCCGGGCGATGATAGGCATCTCCAGCGGAACTGCAAAGTGACAAGTGACAGTGTGAGAGAGAGTGTGATGCGGGTGGACGAGGAAGGCCGGGAGGTACTTTTCTGTTAATTCCAGCGTACACCAATTTTTCTGTTTTATTTCTTCATTCGTGTTGGGTTTTTTTCTTTATTTTTAATTGTTCTTTTCCCTATTGATGTTTTCTAATTTTTGAAGGGTGCACGCTGATTTTTTAAATCAATTTTTTTAGGTAAGTACCCCTCGAGGTAGGCAGCTGGTGGGCAAGCGCGTTAGATGGGCTGCCTGCTAGCGCTCGGCCGGCCCGATCGGAGACGATACTCACAGGCCAGGATCATGGCAGACAGCGCGGTGAACATGAGAAACATGAGGCAGAAGAAGAGAAGGCTGAAGTTGTGGAAGACGTGCGCCGCGTCGCCGCCGATGTCCAGGAAGAGCACCCCGATGAGCAGTCCGGCCACGAGGTGGATGTAGAGGCGGGAGTGGCACAGCATCTGGACGGAGAGGAGAAGTGTTTTAGAACTTATCCCTTTCTAGCCTAGTGGAGACGACTGGAGGGCAGTCAATGAACTCACTCTGTCGCGCAGGCCCTTGAGGAAGGTCCTCTTGATGAGGACGTACAGCTGCAGCCAAAAGGTGGTCGGGTACGTGAGCTTCTGGCGACTACACCGCCCGGGCTTCACCTCGGACTGCGACGACGAGGACGCCACCGAGCTGCTCTGTCTGGACAGCCTGCCCGCGGCGTCCGTCGCCGCCGAGGTCCCCGCCACCCCCGGGAGGGCCTGCTTAGCCGTGTAGGTGGTCGTCCACATGACGCAGCGGCCGTTGTCGCTGGCCTTCACCAGCTCCTCGGAGAAGTCGCCGTACTCGCCGCCGGCGACCTCGAGCGCTGTAAGGTATGCAAAAGCGTTTGGTTAGGCCCGACACATTAAGTCAACCCCGACTTCCGACTCGTGCGGGTCACAGGGAAGCTCACCGTAGTCCGCCGGGTTGTGGTAGGGCGGGCAGCGGAGCCCCAGGCCGGCCAGGTACGGCAGGAGGTTGGCGGTGTGGCCGCTGTAGGCGCAGCGCCCGCCCACCACCAGGTACAGCTGGTCCAGCATCTCGAACACGGTGGCCGACGGCTGGTGGATCGTGCAGACCACGGTGCGGCCCTGGCGCGCCAGCCTGCGTAGCACGCCGACGCACTGCTTGGTGGTGGACGAGTCCAGGCCGCTGGTGGGCTCGTCGAAGAACATGACGGGGGGGTTGCTGAGCAGCTCCAGGGCCGTGGCCAGCCTCTTGAGCTGGCCGCCAGACAGGCTCGACGTCATGGTGTCGCGCTGCTCCAGCAGCCCCAGCGAGTACAGCACCTCGTCGATCTCGGGTCCCCGCCGACCCAGCTTGAGCACCGAGGCCACGTTCATGGCCTCGGACACGGTGAGCTGCGGGTGGAGGGAGGCGTCCTGCTGGATGTACACGCTCTGCCTCCGGAAGGTGCGCGAGTCCCGGGGGGAGCCGTTGACGAGAAGTCGTCCGTGGAAGCCCGAGGATCTGTGGGGTCAAGAAAATCACGATTCGTTACCATATGGCCGGTGTTAGTTGTGACAAGAGAATCTTGGTTGTGTTGGGCCTTATTTCGGAAGGCTGATATGGCCTAAGATTTGTTCTCCTGTATGTTCCCCAGGTGCGGGCAGGGGATCCAATAATTGTTCTCCACACTGCCAATGGCGCAGAACATAATTCCGTGCTTTGTGGGACGCATGGCTAGTCCCCCCCCTCCCCCTATTTAGCGTGACATGCTCTGCTCATCGCCTCTGAACGCCCGCGCTCATTGCATTCCACCAGGACGGCCATTTTCGGCCCCTCGTGAGAGATAAAAGGCCAGGTGCGTTGGGCGTGCCGACACCTGATGCTGATCCTGCGGCGGCCCGGACCTGTATCGCAGCTGATAACCGGGTGTGCCAGGTGTGCACAGCTGAAGCCGGATGCGTCCGCTGGGGTATCGCGGTGTGTCACCCGTGTCACACGTGGGGGGAGATTTGCAGTGGGTTGCCTACCTCAGAGGTTTTGTTGGACAAATTGCCTATCTACCCTGCTAGGGGGTGATTTTGGCCGACGGGGGCGTGGGTGGGGGGGATGATCGCCCCTTCCCCCCCATAAAACCGCGCCTGGGTGGGGGCAATTTGCTCAAAAAACTCCTGTATCGAGGCGATACACTGTGCATTCTTCCGTCAGGTATACCTCACTCAGAAAAATGATTAGCATAGAATGGCTCAGGGAGCACCACCATAATATATGGTTGAGAAAACAATGGCAACGTGATGGTAACTGTATTTTTGGTTCTCACAACCATAATAATGTAGCATCGACCACATTTTAAGGTGCTCCCTGAATTATGATGGTCGCCATAGCTAATCATTTTTATGGGTGTTAGGCGCCGCGTGACGCGTGAGACTCTCGATAACACCGATGTTTAAGAAAGGTGCGCCCCAATGTCAAAGCTAATGCTACGACGAGACAGATGAGAGCTCCACATTGCTCCCCGCTTTCTACGTGGTTGATGATATGATAGCTCCCCCTCGCCGGTGACGCACAGAAACAAAACGTCGGGGTTTCTTCCCGACGAGAGAAAGCATGTCTCCTGAGCTGGTGTCCTTTTCCGCAGCGTTACCACTATAGACTCTCAGCGCGTCAGATATGGCTGCGCTCAGCGTCGGTCAGCGCCAGCGCAGCGCCGCCTTTGGCCGACGACGTCACACTGTGCCGTCCAGTCAGTCAGTCCCGTCACGCCTCACGTCACTCCAGTACGTCACGCCTGGCGCCGGTAGCGTCCCGCCAGCTGCAGCGGGGGCACGACACAATATAACAACCGCGGAAGGCGGCATCCTTCACCCTCCTTCCTCTACGAGTGCCCCTTGTCCTCGTGACCGACGCGCCACACGCGTGGTGCTTTTAGTGCCGACGCGTGTCACTAACAGCGGATGATACGAGTCCCTGGCCTTGTGCCGCCCTTCAGGTTTGAAGGAGTAGTGTCCTCCGCAATGTTTTGCCCCCTGGGGAATCCCCTTAGCAGCGACGGAGAGGGGCGGAGAGGGGTGTCGGCAGAGCAACTAAACCCTCAGCAGAACATCCGTTTGTCGCTTCATCGAAGGCACAACCGGCGCGACCGTTACAGCGCGTAAACACCCCAAAGTCCCTTATTCGCGAACAACAGTTTTTCCCCCTTGAAGTTTTTTGTAGGTGCGAGTGGGACTGGAGAGAACGACATAGAGGCACAGACAGAGAGGGGGAGGGGCAGACACTCGCCAGCGCTAGTTTGTCAGGAAAGGAAGGGTTCCGATAAAGACAAAGAGGCCTCACCCGCCTTTCCTTCGGACATCTCATGGTTGTTCGTGGTTCGATATACGCCGACGGAGCCACGGGGCCAGTGGGGCCGGGCCCTCGAGACGAAAAGGTCTCGGCCGGACTATATGCGTTGGCCCGCGGGGGGGGGGGGGGGGCAGTAGTAGTCACCCCCCGCAATCGCCGAGTCTCTCAGTCAGTTGGACGGCGTACTGCACACAAACTCGCCGCCCACGCGACCCCCTCTGCCAAGTAGTAATTTCATTACCGTGATTATCGTGCGTCGCGCGACCCCCGACCTATGCCGACCTATGTCGCGTACCGAGAGCATCGATCTGCTATCGACGCGTTGTACGATGATGGCTCTGATTCTCGCACAAAGCTCCCGGCTGCCATGCAATGTGTCGCGGCAACATGCACCCCCGGCTCGAGAGAGGCTACTTTGACGCGACACAAGTATTCTTACTGGCTATAACAATAAAACACGCAGTTAAATTTGTGTATTTTTGAAAATAAGAGACGTCTCTGAAAATTAAAAACATTCAGTCCCCGATTTGCATTCCAGTCGCTGACCCTAGGCGAGTATTTTCGTGCCCAGCCCTGCATCGCCGG